CGACCATGACAAAGCTGACAGATGAAGATGACGAGGAAGATGAAAGATAAGGAGCATGAGCATGATTTACGAGGACAAGGTAAGATAATATTGACCGCATGGTAGCAGCTTATCTCAAAGGGACGCTGAGCCCATTTCTCAGCACAGGACGGGAGGGCGCTGCTTCGCGCACGCAACGCGACAGGCTCGCGACAACGATTGTGCCAGCAACCGCACAGAGAGGGTTGCCGCGTAGGAAGGTGGAGGGGTTGAGGGAAGGTGAGGGCGGACCGTGAGCCGGTGTGACATAGGGACGACACGAGGAAGGAGTAAGCCATAGCCGGCTCTGGGGAGGGGAGGAGACTGAACAAGAGGGGAGAACGAAGACAGGCGCGACAAGCGGCAGCGGGAGTTCCGTGACGAGGGTGAGGATCCGCTGACTGGTAATCCAACCGAACGGGCGGAGCGACGACCTCACTACAATGGAAGACAGCGCCAGCGCGAGAACGTGCAACTTGTCAGCACGTCGGCTCCCCTTGGGGCCCCGTATCAGGAGACTGACACGGTGGGGGAGCGCGACGAACGCTTTCGACTGCAAACACTGGCAGATACGGCCACGACAACACAACAGGGTCGACGACATTCGGCAAGCCACTTCCATCCCATGTTCGCAAAACAACGATTCCGACGACATCCGGCAAGCAACTTCCAACCCAAGCTCGTAACACGACCCTGATCTCTCTCCCTTCTCCCTGTTCATCCGTCCCCGCTCCCGATCCTGTCCATCCGCCCTCTCCTGACCCCGCGCCATATCCCTCCCGATCCAAACCTCCCCTTCTCCTCCGCGATCCCGACTTTCTCCCGTCTCCGCCCCCGTCACTGTCTCCCCCACCTCCGACCATCCTTCCTCCCCTGCCGATCTCCCTCCCCGCCCCCCCCTTGACTTTCCTCCCCATCTCCCGTGATACTGGCCACCTCCCGTCTCCGTCTCCTCGCCCCCTTTGCCGACCATCCTTTCCGAGCCCGACTCCCCGCCGTGACTATTCTTCTTACATCTTCGGCGCGCCACATCCATCCCATTCCAAGCCCCTGCCTCGACTATTCTCCATTTCCAACGCGTCATAGCCCTCCCGTCCCAATCCGGCATACCCGCGCCTCGCGCTAGATTCCTCCCCTCCTGACCATCCCTTCCGAGCCGATCACCCACGCCCCACACGTTCATCCGTCCCTGCTTCCGACCCTGTCCATCCTCCCTCTCCTGACCCCGCGCCATATCCCTCCCGATCCAAACCTCCCCGTCTCCTCCGCGACCCCGACTTTTCCCGTCTCCGCCTCCGTCACTGTCTCCCCCACCTCCGACCATCCTTCCTCCCCTGCCGATCTCCCTCCACCTCCCTTCTCCGCCTCCTCGCACCCTTTGCCGACCATCCTCTCCGAGCCCGGCTCCCCGCCGCGACTATTCCCCTTACATCTCCGGTGCGCCACATCCATCCCGTTCCTAACCCCTGCCGCGACTATTCTCCCTGTATCTCCGACGCGCCATAGCCCTCCCGACCCAATCCTCCCCTGCTGAACCCGTCCCTGACCGCCTCCCCGCCCATCCCACCCCCGACATACCCAAGCTCCGCGCCTGATTCCTCCCGATCCATATACCGTTTTCGCACTCAGAACGCCGAGTGATTGACGCCATTTTTTTAATCTTCTTTCTCTTCATTTTCCTCTCTTCGCTTCGCTTTCACACCTCTTCTTCTTCCTCTCTCTCTCTCTCTCTCTCTCTCTCTCTCTCTCTCTCTCTCTCTCTCTCTCTCTCTCTCTCTCTTCTCTCTTCTTCATCTCCATCCGCATCGTAAGCCTTGTTATCAGAGTCGCGGTCTCACTTGTTTCCTCTTACCTACCACCAAGTCTCTGTCACGGGATTCCGTTAAACTCCTTCTCCCTCCCATCAACCCATCTCTCTCTTCAATCACTCTCATGTGCCATTTCTGTTTCGCTCTTGGCGTCTTGCTTCTGCGGGGACGCGAGGCAGACTCTCCGTTTTGAGATTGCGGCCCATTTGTGCTTGACTCGTCATTCTTTCCTCACACTCGGGGAGAGAGAGAGAGAGAGAGAGAGAGAGAGAGAGAGAGAGAGAGAGGAGCGCATCGTTGTGTGGTGAGACGATTGCAGACAGCACCTGTGTGTTCGTTCTGCCTACCACTATCTGTCGACCGGCTTACTCCTTAACTGCCGCCTCTATACTCCTGAGCTTTGTGAACGAAAAGGACTAGTCAATCTCCTTCGCAGCCTCTGTCTGTGTGTGGCCGAAGTCAGAGGTACGTTGTCGGCGTGGAAGGCTTGCAAGCAGGTTGGGTCGCGGGCAGCAAGCAGACACTCTCCTGTGGGGTGGGTGTTTTGCAATCACTGCTGTAAGGAAGGAACTCTGCCTCGCCTCTTCCTAATCAAGGTTCAAGGTTCACTTGAAAAAGTGTTCTTCGTCCTCGGTTGTCCTGCCTTGTGGGGGTTTGAAAGAGAGGAGAGGAGGAGCCACAATTTGGCCATAGTCTCGTGCAGAGATTAGTCGATGTGCATGGGGGTTTGAAAGAGAGGAGAGGAGGGACCACCCTTGACTACGGCCATCTTCCCGTCTTGCCAGCGTCTCGTATACCGATCTCGATCTCTCCCGGCCCTGAGCATCGACCCCCATCCCACCATCACCTGGCCCGCCCCGACCCTGTTTACCCGTGACTCTCGTCCCCCTGACACACAGCGGGTCAATTTCCAGCAGATTCCATGGGCAATGATCTGTTGAGGCACAGGTCCAAGCTGAAGACCAGCTGCGATCAGACGAATAGAACAATCATTAATAAAATAATTCTGAAAGTACCTGCCCCCCGCTCATCCCGAGCATCATGGTGAATAGCAGAATGAGAGTCCGGCACCAACGTGCCCACAAAAGACTGGATTCAATGCTCATGTACAGGGGCATTGCTAGACACTACGCTCAGAATCGCCTCTTGGGAGAGAAAGAGGAAAAGGAAGCTTTACAGGAGGACCTGGGAGCCGATGGAGGGAGGGAACAATTATCACTCAAGGGACTCGAGTCTGTTAGTGAGAGTCACACGGGAGCTGCCACCAGCTCGACCCCCCAGGAGTCGACCAGCAGATCCTGGGCGGAAAGGGTAAGGGAATCAACCACCCAGGAAAGCATCGCAATCCAACGTAGGAAGGAAGGAACTAGCCGGGGGGGGGGGGGAGGAATGGAAGATCCCCTTGAGGAATCTAACAACGGCAGGAGCATTCTTCATATCTCGCCTCCTGGCCTCCCCAGAAAACAAGATGTTACAACAAGGGGGAAGGACATCTGTCGTCAGAGCACTCCCGGGGGACGCAATTAAAACAAGGGACTCCCTGTTTACTCGCCACGCAAGTAACTGGGCCTTCCATGATGATGCAGTCTTCAAATCCACAAACGACAAGGTGGGATGGATTAGAGAGAAGTTAGCAGCATTCAAAAGATCTCCTGCGAGTGTGGGCGAACTGTTCCTGATCCAACCCGCCGCGTCATCTGTCATTACCGTCCTGTGTGTATTAGAGACTGACAAGAGAACAATGGACGGGAGGAAATCCCTCCGTTGTGAACGATCGGAAGTGCGCATGTACCCCTGGCCCCCCCCAAAACCGCAGCGGCCTGAGGAACGCAGGGAACAGATGAGAGGGAACACTTTTGGGTGGAATTTCGGCATATCCCGATGGAAATCCAAGCAGCCTTTGTTCAAGACTTTGGCGAAAGGTATGATGTGGTCGACTTCATTGACCCACTGCCCCCTCATGTGGCTTGGAGGGATGACTATCTGATGCTAGCTATCAAACTTGTAGATGAGCACATCTTTTCAATTGACGACGTTATCCCCTTCTGTGTGGGGGGTAAAGTGTACCGCATAGACACATCCCACAAGCACAGGCCCTGGTGCTGGTGCTTTAAATGCCAGGCTTACGGCCCCCTGTTTTCTGACACGGCCTGTGCCCGCCACCCCTTACACACAGCAAAACCCACAGGCCGACTACGAAAGTATCCCTTTGATGAATCCAGGTGGCGGACGGTTGACCCAGGCTATGAAGGGTGGGTCTACATTGACACACCTGGCAAAAAGGAGCGGGAAGTAGTTGGCTGGTCATGGGAAGGGCAGGGTAAGGACCAAGAAGCAGGAAACCTGGGAGATCGTTGAGAGCAAAATGAAGGAAAATCCGCAGAAGAAACGGATGGGAGCAAATAAAGAGGATGGTAATAGTGGTAAGGGTGACAACCGCTTTGCCCGCTTAGAGAACGGATTGGACAAACCAGAACAGAAGCAACAGGAAGTGCCACGGTTAGAGCCAGGTCGGAGTGGGGGGGGGGGCACAGGTCCCCAAGGAAAAACCAGCCCAAGACCACAAGGCGATCCCTGGAGAAAAAGAAACAGGCTGTCTGGAGCAGCACACACAGCACGTGCAGGTTGAAATTAGACTAGGGGATCATGACACGACACAAGAACCAAGGGAAAGGGAAAAGGAAGTATTCGGGGGGCAACACATACAGCATGCACAAGGTCACCGGGGCATGCGACTGAAACAGCAGGCACGGAGCCTTCCAACACAGCACACAACGCAACAACAACAGTCGCAACAAGACCAATCCCCGGGCCAAGCGCAACAAGCAGAACAAGGGAACGCGCGCTCACTGGCCCCAGAATTCTGCTCAGATGCTTTCGGGGCACAACAGATGGATGTGGACACAACCCCACCGCCCCCTGATGTGGAGATGGAGGAATCCCCGAAAGACCCGGCTGACCCCGACGCCCCCCCACAAGAAGTGAGCCTGGACCAAAAAATCCAGGTGGTGGCCGATTGGATACTTAAACACCTGCAATCGGACTGTCCGCATGAGGGTGAGGAGTACTGGGACAGATCCTATATTGAACTAGTGACGCTTTTGAACAACAGCCCATCCTTAAGAACTGCACCCCCCTCCCCACTTGACGTGGGCGGAAGCCTTCCAACGTATTTTGGCAGTTGCTCGTGGGAGGTTTCGCCCCACGATCCGGACCGACCCGCACCCCTCCGACCACGAACAGGATGAGCATTCTCAACCTCCGTATCCGGAATCAAGGGAAGGAGCGGAAGAAATAGAAATAATAGAGGAAGGAATGACATCCCGGAGACTCAAATTGAGACAACTCATAGAACGGGGCCTTTTTGAGACACCACTCTCCAAACCAAATGGCGTGCTGGTGATCCCCCTTAGGAAGACAGAAGGTAAATGGGAGTTGGGTCTCTCCCAGGTAGGAGAGTACGAGGGGGTAACACTACAAGGATGGGAATTCGCGCCGCAGGAAGAAGACCGGTGGGAAAGAGCTAAGGCCTTCTCTAGCCAAATGCGTGCTTTTATCTCCAAACACTATGCTCCCGGGGCAAAGGCGGGCCTAAGATTTGAAGACTGCAGCAACGAGCAGATGGCAAAGAATGACCTCTACCTGCTCTTTGAACCCGGCAAATCTGCTAGCCTTGGTTGGTACAGCCACAACGCTCTTCTGGACCTTCAATGCGCAAAAGTAAAAGCTAGCGAATTTTGGTTTGAAGATGACTTCTGTAGGTGCTTATGCCGAACAGTTCGGAAAAAGATCTTGCACCTGCACAAATGGGATGTCAGCAATGGCATCCACTATGATGACCTGATCACATGCAGAAATGGACGACCTCGAAACATTATACTGTAGAAACCAAGCATGGAAAAAATGTGTAGACTCGGCTGATCTGGACCTGCGCTCCATCAATGTAAATGGCTTGGCATCCAGTAAACCTGAAAAACACCAAGCCATCTGGAACCAGCTCAAAGGAATAGGAGACAGGCGCTGGCCAGACGTGATCTGCATACAAGAAACCCACCTGCAAGATAACCCGAAACATAACAGAGCACATAGACAGGTCTGGCCTCACACCGCCATTAGAGCACACGCGCCAAGACCCGGCTCTGCAGGCGTGGCAATCTGGATCCCCGCCGACTCCAGATTTCAGCCAGTTCACTGGGTAGTGGACGAAGAAGAAGGGCGTTGGGCCTCGGTCCTAGGTATGCTGGAATTAAAATTGCTTTGTATCCTTTGTACTTACTCACCGAATTCAGTAGGAGAAAGGAGAGAGTTCTTGGGGAGGATAGCAACGCAAGTCTCGGAAGGTATCCCTCTAGTCATAACAGGAGACTTTAACGCCACCCCCGACAGGTGGCTAGACAGATGGAACCCCCAGGACGCCCCCCCTTTTGCAGCGGCAGAAAACGAGCAGATGCTGGCCAACCTCAGCGAGACACTCTCTGTCTTCGACACTTTCCGCCGCTTGCATCCCCAAGAACAGGCCTTTACATGCATACGAGACAGTGATCCAGCACGACTATCGAAATCTCGCATTGACCTTATCCTGCTCTCCAATGACCTGGAGGGGGCCCTGCAATGGGCATTAATTCTCCCACGCAGCCCCCACCCGGGACTAGACCATAAGACTTGCGGGATAATATTAACAATGAGAAAAAGGTCCGATCAAGGGCCGGGCTTCTTTAAGCTAAACACCTCCCTACTTAAGGACTCGTCTTTTGCACAGATGATCCGGTCTGAATGGGAATTTTGGCACCAACAAAAACACCTCTTTGACTCGCAGCTTGTATGGTTCAATAATGGCCTAATCTTCTTAGCCAAAAAATGTAAGGAATTCTCCAAAGCCAAAACAGCCCTACGACAGTATCAGGAAATGACTGCACACAATGAACTTATAACACTAGAATGACAGGCAGAGTCACAGCATCCTAACCCCTCCCCCCAAGAGTGGCAGCATCTCACCTCTTCCATCAAAAAAGCAAAAAACCAGTTGCTGCAATACGCGTTGCATAGATGGCAAGGAATTAGGATCAGAGGCAAAATGGCCAAACTTACTCATGAAGCTGCAATGGACACCTATTTTTTCTCAATGGCCACCGCCCGTACACGTAGGACTGTCATCGAGGCCTCCATTGACCCAGATGATAATAACATCATCGCCACTGACACAGCGCATTGTACACTCATCACCAGAAAGTTCTTTAAACAGCTATATACGTCCCATATCCCATCCCCGCATAGGGAAGAGAGAATCCAGGAAATGCAGAACTTCCTACTTCCAATGGACCGACACATATCCCCGCAGCAGCGCGACAAGTTGGAGAGAGAGCTGACAAAAGAAGTGTGGTTAACACTCCTCCAAATGAAGGAAGAAAAAACTCCCGGCATAGATGGCTTCCCCAAAGAATTTTGGAAAGCCACATGGACTGACCTGAGTACCGACATATGGGAATACTATCAGGAAGTATGGGCGGCTGGGGAAATGGGGGAAACCGTGGGAAAAGGTGTATTATCTCTTCTATATAAGAAAGGAGATAAAATGAACATAAAAAATTACAGACCTATCACACTGCTAACAGTCGTATACAAAATGTTTTCTAAAGCGCTGGCCAATCGCATGGCAACAGTTTTGGAGGACGTTATACACCCAGCACAAACAGGATTCATGTCTGGTAGGAACATACAAGAGAACATCCTGCTAGTTAACAACGTGGTGCAGTTAGCGCGACG